AAACTCAAATATATATAATTTAATGGTATTCTCGAAAACCTACTCACTCACGACAAAGCACTTGATCAGCTTAGTTCGCTTGAGCCGATTGAAGGACTGATTGTTTTGTTTCCTCACGATACCATGGAATATCATTTACCTTTGCCTCAAACAACTACTTTCAGCCAAAATAAGTAAGATCGTTGATTACACTGGCAAATGCACGTTTACTAAATGGAAAATTCCATCACAAATGCCACTTGGATGGGACCTAACTTGGGCTTAATGACATATTTGCCCTGCTACCCTCTGTATCAACGATATTCACGATTAGGTTTCATGTCCAATTGGGGGTGCTATTGCTGCTGATATCATTGAGGCGAGGTCCAAACTACAGTCCAATTCAGTCTTTATGAAATAGCATCCTGAGGCCTATTCGCCTCGTGGGAAAAATCAACTGTTAATCCTAAAGCAGTCTAAGCGACCTTGCCTAAGTAAATATACTTTGGAAAAAATAAATAGTGCAAGCTAGAGATGATTTAATTAGTTGGCAGTTTCGACACATTTTCACTCAGAAAAGTAAGCATGCTTTAGCCAGTTCATTGTCATGTAAATCTTTGTACAAGAACATTTGTCTGTCCATCCGTCCGTCTGTGTGTATGCCGGTATGTCGATCTGCATGTCTGTACGTGACCGTACGTGTCAGAGTGGTGTGTGTGTGTGGGGTGTCGAGTAATCAGAACAAAGTGTACAATTTATCTGAATAAATGCTGGGTTTCGAAGAATATTTAAGTGAATTAGTTTGATTCTACTATGCATTTCGAAGAAACGGTTGGGTGGAAGGAATTCGTGAAGTGGCCTCACCGACAACTGTTGGATTGTGCGAAGAAATCCTCGCTTTCATCTGTACCACGACCTAATAAATAGCCCACCAATATGCTAAAACAAGTGGAACAAAGTGATCAAATACCTCGCAACAATTGTGTAACGTCGGATCGGATTTTGGTTAGTCTGCTGGACATTCTTGGTATTTCTACACTTTAACAAAACACATCTGCTGGCCGAAACTCGGCCATCGTATCGCTGTACTGCATGTCCCTCCAACTCGAGTCCACTCTTCTCTCCTCCCTTTTCAGGGCTACTCAGGTCCAAGGCTCCATTGGTCCAACCTCGACGCCAACCATGCTTCGGGCGACTCATCTGCTCGACCAGTCGGCGGTTTCGTCGAGTGCCAGGTCTGTCGGTCCGGCTGCCTGTCGGTCTGTCCAGGCCCGGCTCCTGCCTGCCTCGGTCCCACGGGACTGCACATGTTGCGAGCTATTCCGCTGGCCGTGCAGAACTTCTGCATCACCATCTGCCTGCTCACGGGCACCGTGATCTTCCGGATGCGAAGGACTCGGGTAAGCGGTGTACCTCATCTTCTTGTCCGCGTTTATGAGGCCAGAAACTGACCGCCACTTTGATAGAACTCGCATACGTGAACAAAGTGCCACCTCATTCAGGTGGTCTGCAGACCTGGCCGAATTCATTGTGGCGCCAAATCAGGCTGTTTTGCAC